GCTATTAATCGGTGCTAGACATATCCTTTCACTCACAAGAACTTTATGACCCAAAGATCAGTCTGTGTTTTATAAACTTAGTACAGTTCCTAGACTTGTGTAGGCTTCTTTGCGGTTGAGGCTGTGTCCTTCATCTTTATCTCAGCCGCTCGCTAGTTTATTATGCACTTCTACTTTTCTGGTTCTCATGACCCATTTAGCCAATTTGGATGCTGCAGATCCTCCCTAAGTTTTTCTTCAGTTCTTTACCACATATCTCTTCTAATATAAAACCTTTTTACCTGCTGGAATATGGACAGTTGTACTTTTACACCTGTAAGGGGAAGGGGTTCTGCTGTAGTCCTTAAGTTTTCTATGCTGAACTTCCTCAACAGAGGGGCCCACCATCTGCCTCCTATGAGATAATGTTTTCTGCCATAAATCACTCTGGTTGGGATTCCTAAAAGATTCCTAGTGGGTGAGTGTTCATTCCCTAGAAGTGCCTGAACTATTATACTTTCTATTATCTAGCGGCTTGAGGCTTGAGGTCTTTAAGGAATAGTTCGTTCTGCTATATCTAAATAAGGTCCATGTCCAGCTTCCCCTTTCCTCCACAGTTCACAACCCAAGCATTCATTAATTTTGGCTGTGTTTTATAGATTAATTAGAACATTATCAGAAAAGCAGTTATACAGAACCCATAGCCCAGAGAGCTCATGATCTGTGAAGCACGTCTCCTTCAAGAAGGAGGCATAACACGGGCACTCTGCCAGGGACCTCCAGGGAGCTTAGTCCCGTGGGACACGTATCTCCCGTCCGCTATTATTGACATAATTGTTCATATCACACGGACGACACTGGAGTTGGTGTGGCAAGAGAGATAGATGGGGTTGGCAGACAAAGAGAATAAATAGAATAAGAAAGAATGAGAAAGAGAAGAAGGAGAGGATGATGCCAGGGGCCAGCCACCCAGCCACACATCCAGACATGGAATAAGAAAGAAAGAAAAGATACACAGAAATAAAAAAGGTAAAAGTCCAAAGTCAAAAGGTAGATGGTATAATTTAAGTTAAGAAAAGCTGGCTAAAAACAAGCCAAGTTAAGGCTGAGGGTGGGAATTCATAAGTAAAAGTCTCCAGGTGAGTATTTGGGAGGGGTGGTAGGCCCCCAAGGAGCAAAGGATAAAGAATAAGAAAAACAAACTATATTTTGGTGCCCAGCATGGGTGTGTATTTCCATGAAGTGCTTGAGAAAGCTAAAAAAAAAAAAAAAAAAAAAAAAAAAAAAAAAAAAAAAAAGGATATGGCTCCTTTAAGAGTTTCTGTCAGAATGAAGCCTTGAACATCTTGTAGGAACAAAAACCAAAGTAGAAACACCTGCCCAGAGTTGAGTTGGAGGGTTGAATGCAGTTCTCAGTCATGCACCTCCAACCAGGTTTCAAGCTTTAGGCTTGGATCTCATGACCCAAGAAGCAGGCAGAGCCAGCCGCCAAAGCCATGTAGAGGTCCTAGCCATGCTGCTTAGCAGTTCAAAACAGACTAAAAGATAGTCATTAAAAGAGGTCCAGATGGAAAAAACTCTAAACAGGTTATAGTGTGTTTAATAATGTGTGTAGACTTAAGAGAAAGGGTATAAAATGTTATAGAAAAAATGGTTTAAAAAATAAAGTCTTTAAAGAGGGAGTAAAAGTAATATAAAAGAAAAAGCCATGTAAGATGGGAAATATACAGGAAGTCTGAATCCTGTATGTTGTGTTGATTTTCAATTTTTGATTGTTGATAAGTAAATGACAGATGCTAAGGGACATGGGATTGAAAGACAGCTGAAATAAATCAGCCTAGATATTTTAAGAATGTCTTAACTTTAAAATGGAAGTAAAAAACTGCATTGCTTTGGGGAAGAGGTTTTGCTATTGTTCCCACAGGAGATAAAAGGCTGTGATTCCTTCAGGATTGATAAGGATTAGTTTTGATTGGGGAAGACCTCCTGAATCTTGACAGGTATGTATCAACAAAGGTTCTAGATGGTCTTTCCAGAACTTGGCCATTATCTCAATTTTCTCAGATACCCCTAAAGATGCCTTTGCCCACAAACAACAGAAAGTAGTTTGAAGAACATGATGCCCACATTCCCAAGAGATGGAGTGAGTGGTCTTTGGTTATTTGGTGGGTTATGTTCATTATCATTTAGGAAAATGTAGGAATATAGGATAAAAAGACAACTATTAATCTCAGATATTTTGCATTGGCATGGATTTTGGTATACTGATAGAAATTTAAGGTTACTTTTATTACAACATACTGTATATATGTTTCTACTCTTGTTTAAGATATAGTACTTATCCAGTTCATTTAAAACTGTAAGGTAAATTTCTAGTTTTTGAAGGCTATTATTATAAACTATTTAGGATAAGCAAGAAACACAGGGCAGTAGTTAGTCATCTATAAAAATCAAATTTGTAGGTATGTTAGGTATGTTTTCAATATCATACAGAGATATATTTTATATAAATAAATGGCCTCCAAGCACTTCAAAGACATATAGGATATGACATTTAAAATGTTTTGTTAACATAGTGCTTTTTATGATGAGACACATCTGCTCCTGGCAGTAACAATTTACTTCATAAAAGGATAATGGTCATCAAAGAAATTCCACATGGAGTTTGCTTTCAATGTGGCAAGGCTAGCCATTTGAGCAAGAAACTACTTTTGCCTTGATTGCTTAAAAGTATGCTTAATAGTACGCAGGACGCAGACAAAAGACTGTTGATCTTCGCAAAACAAGGAAGGACAGTCCTTTGAGAGTTCTGCTTCACTGAAAAGTCTGCCAGATATTCTAGGTCTGTAGGCCAAAGATGGATGCCTCAATGTTGAAGAACAACTTTAGGTAACTGTCCAGGCAGCCAGATATCTCTCTTGTTAGGTAATATTACATCCTTCTGGGGTCTTTGATGGATTTAAAGTCTAAATAGTGAGTTATAGTTTTCCTTAGTTATAATATAAAGTAAATGAGGTATAAAACTTTGGAATCACTAAGTTAAAATAGATAATGGAGTATTTTCTCCAAATTTGCTATATACAAATGGACTGAATATTATAAATGTAATTTTTACTTGATAACTGCTCTTTGTATATAGTTTCAGTATGCTAAAGTTAAAACCTTTCACTTTTATTTAGAAAAAAAGAAAAAAATGTTGTAGAATATTAATTTAAGATGTGTTACATTCTCTTATACTATGGAATATTTGTTTAATGATGCAAAAATATGTTGTATTCTTTGCATTTGTTTAACTCTGTCAAGCTGTGTTATTTTGTCTATGTTAAACACCTGATTGGTCTAATGAATAGATGAATGACCAATAACTATATCTATTCCTAAATGTATGAGTATAATCTGCTGTGCTCAGCATATTCTATCCATGATCCATGTAGTTATATTTTCCCAAATGCTTTGGAAGAATAATTTTTGCTGGTATTTTTTGTGGTGATTCCCTAGGAGGTTTTACACCAGGGAGGGGAAAAAATGATCCACAAAGAGACAGGAATGAAACTTGGTTCAGCCAGATCTTATTGTAACTGGCACTGGGCCAGGACTTCTAGGGTCTGGACCAGATCATTTTATTTTAGCCATATTTAAGCACAGCATAACTTTTGAGAAAAAATGTATTTAGATAGCAATTAACTTAGTCCAAAGTACACAAGAATTTGGGACATGTTTACATTGAGATTCCTTACAAAGTACATCTGGCTTCTTTCACAAGAATGGGTACTATTGACTCAGAGATAGGACATAGGGAGCTTGACTGAGATAAACATACTATCTGTGGGTATCAGAATTGGCATGGCCTTAAGATAACATAAAAGTCGCTTAGGATGTTGTAAAGCACAAGTGACATAACTCAGAAAGGTGGGGTTTATGATCTATAAACAATGCTCAAAATTTAGAGAATTCTGGGAGATACAGACAACAAAGGGTCACCAGGCTGTAAAACTACATCATTTCTGGCATTTCAGGAAGAGCAGCTATGCACCTCATTCCATTTAAGAGGTAAGTTGTGTGCTTAATTTTTCTGGCTTCTCCAGTGCTGTGAGCACAAGGCCTTTTTGCCTCTACATTTTTTTTGTTCTGTAGATATCAAAGCAGAGTTGGGAAACATTATAGCAAAGAACAATATGGATTAATTAATCATGCCAGTAATAGATTTTGCCTCAAATTTCTTGTAGAAACTTAGAAGTGGCCTCAACTAAGGAATTTATTCTGTGATAACATGGTAGACAGAGCTTAGAACAATGCAAAAAAATCAAGGACATTTCATAAAAGACTGGATATATGTCAGGTTTATTCAAGTGTTTAATTCTTGCTTCACACAGAACATAACAGACACAATGTTGCAACAAATGTTTGTTTAATGAATATATAATATTCTCATGATTATGCAAGTAGCTATATGAATTTCCTAAATTTAACTTTAGTGTGTGATCAATGCTGCCTGAAAATTTCTACATTAAGTGAATTAATTATGTAATTTGAACTAGCATTTAGTTTCCTGTCTTCTAGTCTACTGTTTGCTTGAGACAGAATATTTTATTTTCTAAAATAATCTGTGCTATAGGTGTTAGCCTTTGTGTTGATTAAATGTTACTCAAAAATTATTTATAAATCCTTGTCACTACTTTTGATAAAATGACACCAGAAAATGGATTTTTATCTTTCTTGTGCTGTGCTGAAAGTCCCACTAAGATGTGTTTCACTGATGTGAAAGAACATGATACTCTCATATTGATTTCGCCCTTGGCACAGATTTTCACTAAGGTGTTCATAATATGTTGTGTTCCACAAAGAAGCACAGTTGCATTACCTGTTACAACAGTGGCCTGATCTTAACTCTGAATATTCAGTGAGCTGCTATATTGTCATTTTACCCGGAAGACTTGGCCTGCTACCTCTGTCTTACTATTCAGCAATCTATATATGAGGTGACATTTGACTATCAGCACAGAGAAGATTGGAGATTTATCATGGGGTACAAAACTCTGTTCTTTGGATTATCTTGTATCCTTTTTGCTCATTATATTTATATGCCCATACCAGAAAACATTGAAGAACCCTGGAAAGTGAGAATGATAGATGCTGTTATAAAAATAACATCACTTCTGGTAATATTTTTTCATAGTAAATTGAGAAGCCTTGCTTCAAATATATATATATATATATATATATATATATATATATATATATATATATTATGTGTTATTTGTATATGAAGTTTCCTTTAGTTGGTGTTTTGAAAGAGACTTTGCTTTTCTTTAATGCTATATCTACCAAATGATATTATAGTTTATGTAGTTAACATGCTTTATTTATCTATTGAGAGACGCACAATGTTTGTAAGATGCTATTTCAAAAGTTAATTATATATTAACAAAAATAATTAACATTTCTAAAAGAATACTTGAGCAATTGTTCAAATGCTTGCATATATTTGATGTTTTTCAGAAAACCAAGGTTCATACATTTTCTTAAACTCACATGTATAAATAATTCATATTATAAAATTTTGGTGTATTTTTAAACTTGTACTATTTTAATATCTTTTTTTTCCTTTTAGGTAGTTCTTAAGCTTCCTATACTTAAAACTGTGTACTCTCATGCCAAAAAAGTTTATATTTGTTTTACAATCATTGATTTTCAGAGTGTTAATAATTAACTTAATGGTGATGATGATTTCATTATAGGTTTATATAAGTGCTAAGTTAATAATAAAATAAAATATATTTTGATATTCAGAAAAATCATGATAGTGGCATTTATTTCTACTTTTTTGCATCATTTTGCAATTGTTTGTGGAAGATAGCTGGTGTCCTATCTGCTTCTGTATTAGTCTATGGTGAGATCCCATCTGTGAAATTCACTGGAAAGTTGCACTGTGTATTCATAAGCATAGCACACTTCTTTTTTGAGCAGATAGTGTGCTATATAACACATGCTCCCTGACGTGTCTCAGAGACACACAGATGCTCAAAAGTCACATCTTGACATATGCTACTGTAGTTATCTATCTTTAGTTCTGTGTTACTAGAATTCAGACTTTATAATGACACTTCCAAAATCTGAACTCAAGAAGATATGATATCTTTTATCAAAATGTGCTTCTGCCTGGACGCCCATGGTTCTCAGGGCAATAGGAAGGTATAGGGAGAAGACAGAAGCAAACAATCAATGATCAGAGAAGATACTGCAAGGCGTAGTAGATGAGGAAGACACAGCCTGCTGTGCTGGGGAAGGATAATGACCTTCCCATGCTAGACAACTGTCCTTTTTCATGTCCTGTCCAATGGATTGCTGGGATAATATATGCTGGTAAAAAGCTAGGTAAGAATGTGCTTATTTTAGTTCACAACATAGAATACAGTCCATTATTCCAGGGAAATGAAGGAGTTGTGATCTTGATGTGCCATCACACTCACAATCAAGAGCAGAGAGAAATGAATGAATGCATGATTATATTTAGCCATCTATCAGGGCTCCAATCTGGGGAACGGGTCACCTACCTTAAGGCTGTGTATTACCACATCAATTAATGAAATCAGGACATTTCCCTGTGAACCCATTCACCAGCCAACATGATCTAGAGAGTACCTTAAGGAGACTCTCCTAAGGTGACTCTAGGTTGTATGAAGTTGACAGTTAAACTAACCATTAAAATAGCTGACACATTTTCTTCTGAGTCCAAAGTTAGCTGAGTTATCCTGGTTTGGACAAGCTTCCACTGGGAGATCAATTGAGAAGCATTTTGCTTCATATTTTTACAGCCAGTGTGGCTTTCTTTTAATTGTAATTTATGTGTCATTATTTCTCATGTTTGTACTTACAGTTTTTATACATTTCAAAGTTATGTCTTATAGATTGCAGATATGCTATGTACTTCAGTATTTAAAAGACCTATGTAGAAATATCTTTCATATTTAGTCTATTCATATTTTATATCAACTTTGCTATGATTACAGTTGATTCTACAATGCTATTGGTATTTAGTATTTAACTATGCTATTTCTTATTCCTTTTTCCTGCCATTCTTTGCATCATTTAGAATACATTTTTGTCAGTAAACTTCTATAGCAATTTGGGCTATTTTCAATTTTTTCCTTCTATTTCTTTATTTTCATAATTTTTTTGAGATGGGAACTGCCATGTGCTTGATTTCCTTAGATTAACTAATTCTATCTTACTTGACTTCCCAATACACCATATTGGCTGCATTACTCTTAACCATGACATATTATACTAGGGAGTACATGTCTGTTCCTTACTTTTCATACATGGTATAGATTTAATAGTGACTCTCTTTGCAGAAGATATTATTTTATCTTTGTAGACTCTTCTACATTTTTTCTTTTCTATTAAAGGTGTTTCATACAATATAACTTGATCTCTCCTCAATGTTAATACATTTTATTCTAACTATTATGAGTAGTTCAACTGGTTTCTGAAGAACACACTGGTCTCCTATGTTATTTTTCTTTGATTTCTTCAGTAGCAATGTCTATGGTGTTTACCCCTTTTCCCCCAGGAACTCCGTTCACTATTTCCACCAAGAATACCAAGAATGAATCTGCTGAAGATAAATTCCTATAGACTTTTCAGTTGTGTTCTTTATTTTTCTCGTGTATCCCATTTTAAAACACATTTTCTTTGTACATCCACATCTATGTTGTTAGGGCTTTTCTTTCAGCACACAGTCAACTGTTCTCTGGTGTGCATATTTTCTAATGAAATAAGCCATTTGTATTCCTTCTCAAACATTTTGTGTTTTCTGCTCTGACTACTCTAGATTAAACTAAAAATCCTTGTTGCTCAGCACTCTTATTGATTTTTCTGAATATATTTTTCTGTAAGGTTTAAGAAGTATTTGTTAAACTTATATATTCAGTGTGTATATTTACATATGGAAATTCGGTTTCCTGCTGTAGCATACATACACTTAAACATCAAAGGACAACTTTGGGGCCAGTTCTTTCTTTTCACTATGTGGATCTCAGGGATAGAACTCAGGTCATCAGCCTTGGTGGCAAGCACTTGTGTCTGCTGAGGCATGCTTTGGTCTGTGACTGTCTTCTCTGAATATTGATAAAGTTCCTGGATATACAAACATGTATCAATTAAAATCTTAGAATTTAGTTCATCAAATACATCTTTTTCTGCTCTAGTATCTCTAATATTCCTTCTCTTTTCTCCAACTATATAAATATCAGATCACTAAGAATTGTCTCATGGATCTTAGCTTTGCTTCCTTAATTTCAATTACTGTTTTTAATTTTAAATTACATATTTTTGATATATTTTCAAATTCAATGAATCTTTGTCATCTCCCTTTTATTATTGAGGTTTAATTATAAATATTGTATTTGGGATAAATAATTTCCTAGTTCTATTATAAATTTTTCATTGAGTCATTCTTGGTAAACTTTATATCTTTTTTTGGGATGGAGGGGGGGAGGGGTTGAGACAGGGTTCTCTAGGTAATTTTGGTGCCTGTCCTGGATCTCACTCTGTAGACCAGGCTGGCCTCAAACTCACAGAGATCTGCCTGGCTCTGCCTCCTGAGTGCTGGGATTAAAGGTGTGTGCCATTGCCACCCGGCATAAACTTCATTTCTTGACGATGACTGTTATTTAATTTATTGCCAGAAGATTCATCTTTACCTTATGGAACATAATTATAATAGTTATTTAGAAAACATTGATTTAGATGCAGATAATCTCAAGTTCACATCTCTGATTTTGTTACATCTCTGATTTTGTTTCCTTCAGGGAAATAGTCTCATTTGCTTTATTCTTTGTGTGTGTATGTGTGTAACTGTGGTTTGTATCATGGGTATTCTGAGTACTGGAGTATGGTAATTTGAATGAGAGTGGCTCATCTCATATATAAAATACTTAGACCCCAGGTGGTGGAATTGTTTGGGAAGGATTTGGAGAAGGTGTGTCACTGGGCACCAGTTTCCAGTTTCAAAAGACTTTGGGGATTCCCAATGCTTTCTCTCTGTCTCGTGGTTTTGGATCAGGATCTAAGTTCTCAGATGTTTATTTGCTCTGCTATCATGGACTCTAACCCTCTCAAACCATAAGTCAAATTAAGTGCTTTCTTCTATAAGTTGCGTTGATGATAGTGTTTTATTGCAGCAATAAAAAATAACTAATACACATGGGCTCTTTTAAATTTCTAATAAGAATATAGACTATTTTGTCAAAGTTTTGTTTTGGGAGTCTATCAATCAGGTTATCAAGAGGTTAAAAGAGATAATGTATTTATATTTGTTAAAGATATTTAAGATTGGTGGATAAAGATTTTAAAGTTTCAAGATTCTTAAAATTTAAAGATCTAAAGCTGGGCAGTGGTGGCACATGCCTTTAATCCCAGCGCTTGGGAAGCAGTGCCAAGCAGATCTCTATGAGTTCAAGGCCAGCCTGGTCTACAGAGTAAGATCCAGGACAGACACCAAAACAACACAGAGAAACTCTGTCTCAAAAAAAAAAAATTAAAGATCTCTACTTTCTGATGTGATTCAGAGATTAATTATCTTTAACTCTTCTCATTATTTTTTTGACTCTGTGCTTAATATAAAATCTTCAAGCAGAATAAAGCTAACTGGGGATTGCATCTGATTTAACTAATAAGTTGCTAATATGTCATCAGTTGGTGGCCAGTAAAATACTTTAATGAATAGAGCTTGTGACACTTTAAAATGAATTAAAACACTATTGCAAGTAAACAGATATTTATATGTCTAAGCTTATCAAGGCAAGAATTGTCTATACTTTTATTTCTAAGACCCAAACATGCAGGTGGTCTTGGAATTAAATATGATTGACTGCTTTATAAATTATTAAAAGACGTGTTTTTCTCTCCCTGTGTTTATTTCTATATATATAAAATATGTGTATTTTAAAGTATAAGCTTTACAGTTGTTTTTTAATGTGAAGTGCTAACATGATAACATAACAGTTCTTATCCCTTCTGATATCCATGGAAGCACCAGTTTCTTCTAATACAGTTACTCATACAACTTTCATTTTGATATATACTTCAAAATTATACATTTTGATACATATCTTCTAAATTATAAAAATATAATTTATCACCTCATCTTATATAGGCAAGCATTTGTAACATTGACCTAAAACAATCAGTTTACACCCCACTTAACCTATCTAGTATTGGTTGGCAAACTGGTTAGTGCTTCTGGAATCAGTTCTCTCATCATTAAAGTAGATGGGTACAGCATCTGGAATATTAGCTAGAACTTGATATCCTGAGAAAATTTCATAAATACATGCTCCTGAAATATTCTAGTAACATGAAAATTATAGGTTTTTTTTTTAGTTGAACTAGAAGTTACATGTTAGGGAAAATGTTAGAAATATTAAAGAGAAATTTATTTCAGCTATAAAAATCAAAAGAATTTCATGGGGTTGGGGATTTAGCTCAGTGGTAGAGGCCCTGGGTTTAGTTCTCAGCTCTGAAAAAAAAAGAATTTCATTTAAGGAAAAGGGAAGAAATCTGTTTGTAATTTAACAATGGAAACAGACTATCAGTAATGTAGTAACTAAGTCATTTCAATTTTGAAATAAATTGAAGGCAAAGAAGATGGGTTGGTGGGTAAAGCACTTGGTGCACATGCATGGAAGCATGAGATTGGATGGCCAGTAGTACCCCATAAAACTACATATAGTGGTGTCCATCTGTGACCCCACAGCTCCTATGGTAGCATGGCAAGATGGGATATGAGAATCCCTTGAGGTTCATGGGCTATCTGGACTGGCATATGCAGTGACAAAGGACAGCAGACCCTAACTGAAGGAAGATGGAAACAGAACCAACATCTGAACATTTTCTCTAGCTCCCATTTATGGTACACAATGCTTGCACACGTGCACACACACACACACACACACACACACACACACACACACGCATGCACGCATGCACAGGCACACACAGAGAGTTAAACTTTAAATATTGAAACTAAATTTAATGATCAACAAATAAAATAAAATACTAGGAATATACATACAAAGAAAGGAAGCATAAAATGTTATTTCCAGATGGCATTTTTAGATAAAACTAACAGTTAGGAAGAACCTAACCCCGTGAAAACCACCTTCACAAAAATTTGTGGTATCAAATGATATTACCTTGTTCTCAAATACTGTGTGCTTGAGATTTCTTTTTATGTTTATAATGAGCTTTTATTGTTTGACAGTTTCATAAATTCACATGATGAATTCCGCTTTCCTGCTGAAACTGTTCTCAAAAATTTCTCTTTCTACTTTTATGCCCTATTTCTTTGTGAAACCCAACTAATTGAATTAGTTTCCTGCCTTAACAGGGGGGAGCATGAGGTACCAAAGCATTGGTAACTATCTACACCACTGAAGAAAGTGGCGTGTCCCCTCTTAACTACAGTTAACAATTAGTATTTCCCGAGGTTTGGCTGGGACCTCATGAACAAGTTCCTTACCCATCATGAAATGTTGATTGGCCCAATCATATGCAGGTCTTATACAGATGAATTTATTGACATTTCTATAGTACAAATGATAGTACATGTGTTGGGACATGTAATAAGTCTCATTTTTTTTCCAGTCTAATAGTACTTTCATGTTTTTCTAAAGTAAAGATTATAATCCTTTGACTTACTTGGTGCAAATATTTTCTGATTTTATTTGCCTTTGTGCTTGACTAATAATATTTTATTGTTTAGAATATATAAATAAAATATATATTTAGTAATCTTTATATCTATCATCTATCTATCTATCTATCTATCATCTATGTATCTATCTTTATCATCATCATCATCATCATCTGTCTACCTGTATATCTATCATCTATCTATCTATCTATCTATCATCTATGTATCTATCTTTATCATCATCATCATCATCATCTGTCTACCTGTATATCTATCATCTATCTATCTTTTGATCATATTCATCCCTACTCTCCCCTACAATTTCTTCCAGACCATTGTATAACCTTCTCAACATTATGTCCTTTTTAAAAATATTTTTTTTATAACTCACTGAGTCCACTTAGTGCTGCCTATATGTATATGGATGTAGAGCCATGTACTGGAGCCAGGGCAACCTACCAAGGGCCATATCCTTGAAGGTATCTGATTCTCTCATTCCTAGTAGCCATTAATGGTCAGTAGCTTGAGTTGAAGTTAGGGCCCTTGTGTTACTATTCCCCAAAATACGCTTACATATTGTTTGATTTGGTCATGTGCACATCTCATGCAGATAACCAGAGCATCTATTAGTTTATAATTGCAATCGCCTTGTCATGTCTGGAAGACACTGTATTTCAGCCATCTTCCCCTACTTCTGTGTTTCTCTGTCTTTCTTCCCCATCTTCTGAGATGTCCATTTCACACATAGCAAGGTATGTGCTATACATACCTCAGCATTATCACACCACCTACTCTTTTTTTCTACTGCATCTTTAGGTGCACTTAGTGTTACTAAAATAAAAAATAATTAATGTACATTTGGATGTTGTTTTGATAGGCCACATTATTTGAAAACATGGGTCTTATGAAATTTGAAGATCTTTTCATCATACTAATGCGTATTCAAAATACAGAGCCAGTTTCAGATGAAAACATTACAGTGATTGACACAGATTTCAGTGACATTCCTGTTCGTCTGTATTTGCCAAAAAGGAAGTCTGAAAGACAGAGACCAGCTGTAATTTACATTCATGGTGGTGCCTTTGTCACAGGCAGCTTCAGTAAGTATGTTTTTTAATATGTGCTTTAATTTGATTGCATTTACTATATGAAACAGAACTATATGCATTCTCATTACCTTGTTACACCTTTTCCTGCAATGACTTCATTTTTTTCACTTGAGCATTTGATAGTAGTCATTATGTTTGTGTTTTATGTAATGAATGCCCTTTTTTGTTGATAAATTTTGATATTATTTTCTGTTAAGATTTTAAGCATGATAAATTTACAATTTTTGTCCCCACCTCTTAGTGTAATAAGTAGATTCAATCCATAGTTATATTTTGTAAGAAATATTGCAAACAAGAATATGTTGATTGATTTTAACTCCAATTAAAATTTTCACTTATATTCAGAAAGACAACTTTGAGTTTATTTTAAAGCCTAAGCCTCTAACAACGGAAAACACATTAAAAAAAATTACCCCAAGTAGTATATTTAGATTTAAATAAACTAAACTTCCTGTATTAAAAAAGTATGAGAACTCTAAAATATCTTTAAAGATAGATTAATTAAGATGACTCTTTGAATTTATTAATATTATAGTGATGGTTGTAATATGATCTTCAACTTACTTCTAGAGTTCTGATTTATAGCCAGTTTTACAGATATGGAAGAGGTTACTTTGAGGGAGTCAACATGTATACTTTTTCTTCTCCTGAAGAAACATATATAAAAATTCAATGAAAGGTAGTTTGTTACTATTAAAGCTTTGGGACTGTGATCTTTACCATTGATCCTGGGACACTGTCTGTGCAATAGTTCCTGGTGTAGTTTCCTTCAGTACTGTACAGCCACAGCCTTCTCCTGATATAACTGACCCCAGAAAGGAGCAGCCCATATGCAGTCACAGGGCACTATGCCCTATGACTGGAGTCATGTGAAGCTAACAACACAATGAAGCCAGAGGAGGTTTTCTGAGAACCCAAACTGGTCATCACGGCACAACAATCTTCTTTCATTGTGACCTAACAAGATTTTGTCTTCTGGTCTGGCTTAGGATTCATTTAGTGGAGAGGAGATAAGGAAGGTCTTCTTACTCCCCTGTTTTCTTACATGTGGCAACAAAAGTGTTGGTTGCAAGGTTTCCATCAAGTAATCACAATTCAAATTTCTGTTAGAATGTGGGGACCATCTCTCACCCTTACATTTCCCCCAGAGTACTCTTGAGTAGAAGCACCAAGAAATATTAGATAGAAGGATAGAGGGGAGAGGAAAAGATAGAAAATACAGGATAGCCTCAGGAGGGCCTGGATCTTAATGCATCGATTGGGCTCTGACTGTCTCTGCCCTAGGGTATTTAAAGGAATGCCAAGGAGTGGAGCAAAAGACTTCTCCCCAGTACAGCCAAGTGCAGACCATCTGAGACACCTAGTACTCAGGCCCCTGGTCCAATCATCCTCTTTATGCAGACCTGCTGGGTAAAGCCTAAATGTGCTCCAACAAGTCCCCCTTTCTTAATATATACAAAAACAACTCCCCATTAAGAGTTCATAGCAATCTCCACAGCTGTCATACCTCCCAGTATAGGAGTAAGGGATGTTGAAGATGGCATTTTTTTTTTGAATGGGTCTAAGGTGAATATATCAGTCTTAGCTTCATTAAGCCCTTTCTAAATCAAAAAATCTTGATGTAACTGCATCAAACTTAAAGATTCCCTTAGCTACATAGTTAACATTAACAGTTTAACACAATTATAACATAAATATTGCTATACATAGTTACAATTCTCTCAATCTTACATCTTAAAGCAAACTCTTAATAGTACCATTTGAATTTCTTGCTAACAAAACATAGGATAAACTTCTGATGTATCCACATCAAACTTAAATACTTCCTTAACGTCCCCAAGCCAATCAATATCAATAGGTTAACATAATAATTCTAACATGAACATTACTATACACCATTATAATTCTTACAAATATACATTCAAAGGCAATAGTCTCAATATAACCATTAATACTTTCTTATAAACCTACATACAAAAACAATTTCTTAATAGAACTATACAAAACATAACATTAATTCATTCAACTAACACCAAAATATTTTTAAATTAAATAGACTGAGGGATATTTACATTCCCCCTTTATAATGTTTTAGGACCCCCCCAACTTCTCTATTTAAACAGTTCCACTTTTAAGCAGTTCCATTTTAACATAAACAGTTCCATATATCATCAGAGTTGATAGAGTCTATATATGTAAGTCCCATTGCAATGAAATCAGTACTGCTGATTTCATTTCTTAAGTACAAAAAGAGTTCTGGTACCAGACTTCCATTTTCAAATATGAAGAAACATTTCTCACAACCAAAAACTTTTTGCAGTTAACAATTGTAGTTTAAACAAGCATCTCTACAAGTTTTGTTCTCAGGGACCTCTGTCTCTTTCAGTTACAGCAGCATTTTATGACAGTTTTTTTTTTTTCCAGGAAACCTTAGCCTCAGGGTGAAGTAACTGCCATAGTAACCAAGGTCTTCCAAAAAGCTCTCTCCACAGCCAGCAAACAGAAACTGTAAAGTTTTTGCTGCTAACTCTGTTTCAGGCTTTTATGGATTTCATAGTCCCAGTGTGTCTGTGCCTCCTGTAAGTAGGCCTTTCCTGGCCCAGGCTAGAGATCTTCCTCATCACTGCTCTGTATTCACCTTTCCTTAAGTGACACAAGCCACTGGGCTTTCCAAGCCTCTGCTGTTGACCTTTCTCACAGTGTAGTGTATCAGCTGGGCTTTCCAAGCTGCTGACTGCCATTAGCCCTTCTTGTAGCTTAGTGTGTTCACTTCTCACCATGGCTTCCTTTTGGGTGAAAGCTTACAGACCCTTTCCATTAGTGCTAGCTCTGCTTTCAGTGGCTCTTGGCATCTGCTGCTTGGGAAACTATGACACTCCATGGGTCTCAGCCACAAATACTTGGCTGCTGCTTTCTGAAACTGTTTTTTGTTGTTATTGGTGGCTTTTGGAATGTTCAAATTTGCACTCTGCTATGGACACTATTTGGCAAAACCTACTCTAAATTACTTTTGTTCACCATATAATCCCTCTACTTAACTTTAACATCTCCCTAAGACCTAAAGCCCATATTCTAATATATAAACCTACATTTCTATGGTTTACTTTATTTAAACTTATACTTATTACAAGCTCATATTCTTAAAGAAATTCTATCGGACAACCTTAGCAAATATACTTCTTATATTCACACAAGCTTATATTCTTAAAGAAATTCTATTTACAAACTTATATTCATAAGGAAACTCTATAGGACTACCTTAGCAAAGATATTTCTTACTCTTAACTAGGAAGAATCTCTTAGCAAACTCTCTGTAGGGCTACCCTTAGCAAATATCTAATTTAGCAAACACCAAAAACATATTTATTAACACCTAGAAGAGATTTACCATCTTCCAACAAGACAGAGAATAACTTTCTACTTCTTACTCTTAACAGAACTAACTTACACTAGGAAGAATCTCTTAACTATTATCACTTTACACATAGGAAGGATTTTAGAAGCACTATTTTTTGTAGTTGAAAGTCTTTGTGTGTCCTGCCTGGTCCACAGCTTCTTAGACCCAAGTAAACACACACAGGCTTATATTAATTATGAACTGCTCAGCCATTAGCTCAGGCCTACCACTGACTTTCTCTTACATTTAAACTCATTCCATTTCTGTTAATCTATATGTTGCCACATGTTCCATGGCTTTACCTGTGTGTCATTACATGCTGCTCCCTAGATGGCAGACTGGTGTCTGCTGACTCAGCCTTCATCTTCCCAGAATTCTCCTCTCTGCTTATCCCACCTATACTTCCTGCCTGGCTACTGATCAATCAGCGTTTTATTTATCAACCAAATCAGAGCAACATACATTCACAGCATCCAGAATGATATTCCCATCATTTCCCCCTTTTTTCCTACTTAAAAGGAAGGCTTTAACTTCAACATAGTAAAATTATATGTAACAAAACAATTATCAAGCAAGAATTACAGTTACAATATCTACTTTATTTATATTTGGCAAAATTAAAGAAAATATCCTATGTATGCTATATTTGTGTGTCTAAAGTTTCATATCTACCTTATCTCTTATCATAACCAAGGAAAACCATAATTATAAATATCTAATCTTCAACTATATCAAAGACCTCAGAAGGATATAATATTACCTAAGTAAATAGGAAGAGCATTGTAAGCAACTTCCAAAAATCTAGAATGACAGAGACGGCTGCCTGCATGGATAGTCATCCAAAGTTCCTCTGCAATGCTGGGGCATCCATCTTCAGCCCACAGGTTTAGAGTCTCTTAGTCATTTCTTCCTGTGTCCTGTAGAATGTCTGTCAGTTTCTTCTGCAAACAGGAACCTGAAGGACCATCTCACCTTTCAGTGGTCACCTTCCTATGGGTCCTGCATGTCCAGTCAATACAACATTTTGTGAAGCAGTTCAGGCAGGAAAAGTTTCTTGCCCAAATGAGTTAGCATTGTTTTCTTATAGAGAACTTTCAAATGAAGTGACTATTTTATGATATAGTTAGATTTTTTTGGAGCTTGATCCCCATCTATAAAGCAGTCATTTTTTTTTTTTTTTTTTTTTTGGTTTTTCGAGACAGGGTTTCTCTGCGTAGCTTTGCGCCTTTCCTGGAGCTCACTTGGTAGCCCAGGCTGGCCTCGAACTCACAGAGATCCCCCTGGCTCTGCCTCCCGAGTGCTGGGATTAAAGGCGTGCGCCACCACCGCCCGGCGTCATTTTTTTTTTTTTTTTTAATGTTTCTTTTTCTCCCCATTAGATTTGCAAAGGAATCATTCATTGCAGGCTGTTTGTTCAAGAGGCAAAGAACTTTTATATTTGCCCATATCTAAAAACAATGTTCAACGTATGAACTGCTTTCCTTTGTTTTTTAAAGGATTTTAAAATGTTTTGTTGACAAACAGTATTGACATTGTAATCATCTCCTGAGAAGCAAGCTGTTTGTGTGATTTTAGTTCTCAAGAGGTAAGGCTAAGTTTTCTAGGATTGCTCTGAAAAGAAACTTCATTCTGAGCTGAAAAAACAGCTGCACCGCTTGGCTCCCTGTGGCTCTTTGCCTTCACTTGCCCATGTCTATGGCTAGGTTCTAGCTGCAGGGGGAATTCTGGCTAGCGTCTGATGTAACTGCTGTTTTTTTACTGGCTTGAAGAGACAGAGCTTAGAACAGAGAGTTTTGGGAGTTCAGGCCCTGCCTCCCTCATTGCAGGGAGGATTTTTAAAGCTCCCATCTCATCAGCAGCCCTTCCCCTCATCTCTTCACCTTCCGAGGAATCTGTCCCTGCTTCAGCTTTCTGCCTGCACTTATTTTTTTTCTAGGCTATAACCACAGGGAACTTCCAGCTGCTGTTTTTTTTCTAGCTTAGAGAGACAGACCTTTAGCAGAGAGGTTTTGCCCTATTCTAAGAGGTTTGTTGTTGTTTTTTTTTTTTTTTTTTTTTTTTTTAGAGTGAACCACAGGTGAATCCCATACTAATATCTCCAGGTGATTCTTAGTCTCAGAGAAACTGAGAAAGAAAGTTCTGAAAGCCTTTTTGGTTTTTTAGTGAGAGAGATTAAGTTTTTTTCTAAGAAAGATTTTAGTTTAAGAGAGAGAGCCCAAAACTCTTGTTCTCTAAACTTTTTGGCTTCATGGCCAGGAGGAAACTAATTCTGTTGGTAAGGTGTTGTACAAGTTTTCGCAGGCACTGCCGATGGAGCAGAGGATTTTTGTTTCATCCATCCACATCCACTGCAGGGGAAATCTCTTCTGCTGCTTGGACTTAACATTTTGGCTGTCCCCAGGCCAAAAGCTTTCATAGCAATCTTTTTCTGCCCAATGAGCTCAAAGAAGAGCTTTTTTTCTGCCCATTAAGTTCAAAGAAAATAGATTTTTCCCAGTTTGTGTTCATAGCTCCATATTTAGAAAATTAAAGACATAGTTTCTCTGTGTTGTAGCTTAACATAATCTAAATTTTCTTTATACTATTTTCCTTCATTCCTACTTTATTTACTCTTCTAAGTTTTTCCTATACTATATTTCTATTTCCTACTTTCCTTATATTTCATAGATAGAAATTAAGATAGAGACAGAAAGAGAGAAATCTTGATAGAGAAGATTCTATGCTCCATCTTGTACTTGGACATCCTTCCAATCCATTTTTTTATTTTTCTCCCAAGGACAAATCCCTCTGCCCCATTTAACTTTTTTCACTACAAAACCAGACAGGTCCCACTGCTTTAACTGACAGAGCCTAAACTTCTACTTTGCAAAATACTCATCTATCTATCATCTATCATCTATCTATCTATCTATCTATCTATCTATCTATCTATCTATCTATCTATCTATCTATCTATCTATAATATTGTCTTAGTTCCTGTTCAGTGGCACCATCTGTTGGGGGGGGTCATCCCTCACCCCCCCCCACATTGTAGTCAGAAGTTTTCCTGTGCTCACCTGGCACCAAGGTCCCACAGCCACTTATAAAATTCCTGTGTCCCACCTGGTCCTGCAACCGCTCAGACCCAAGTAAATACACAGAGGCTTATATTATTTTTAAACTATGGCCATGGCAGGCTTCTTGCTAGCTAGCTCTTATATCTTAAATTAACCCATTTCTATTAATCTACGTTTTGCCATGTGTTCTGTGGTATTACCTGCATCCCATTACATGTTGATGGCATCTCCTGACTCATCCTTCCTCTTCTCAGAATTCTCCTCATCTTCTTGCCCTGCCTATACTTCCTGCCTGGCTACTGGCCAATCAACATTTTATTTATCAACCAATCAGAGCAACACATATTCACAGAATACAGAACATCCCACAACACCACATTTCCCCAGAGTACTCTTGAGTAGAAGCACCAGAAAATATTAGTTAGAAGGATAGAGGGGAGAGAAACAGATAGAAAGTACAGGATAGCCTCAGGAGGGCCTGGTCCTAATCCACTGGGCCCTGACTGTCTCTGCCCTAGAGTATTTAACGGAATGCCAAGGGGTGGAGCAAAAGACCTCCCCCCAGCACAGTCAAGTGCAGACCATCTGAGACACCTAGTACTCAGGCCCCTGGTCCAATCATCCTCTTTATGCAGACCTGCTGGGTAAAGCCTAATGTGCTCCAACATTAGGATTCATGGATGTGTCTGGCTATCTATTGCTTTGCATTTACACAGCTCTGTGCTATATTTTTTTTCTTTCATTTCAGAGATGCTGCCCTATGATTCCATAAACCGATACACAGCCAACAAACTTGATGCTGTCGTTGTGGCACCAGAGTAAGAGACTGGCAATCTTTATGATGTGACTCTTGCCCACCCTGCATAAGCCTGGTTTACAGCACAAGTTAAACAGTCTTCAGTGGTGGCTGGACTGCTGCTAGGAAATTTGGTTTATAAAATTTTTCTTAGCATTATATTATCAGTGTTTCCTCAACAATCCCCAATTTTGCTTTAATCTCTGAGTGATAGACACCTGGGAGAGGCAAGGAAATGAGCATCTTTGCCAGAAAAGCAGTAGTAGCATCAAAACACATAAAACCTATCCAGATAATATGCCTGCAGTTCATACTCATCATACCTGAGGGGTGGTGGCTTTATTTGTCAAGGTAATAGAGACAATATATGTATATATGTCAGAGTTATTCTGGAATCCAGTAATATTAATTAGAACCAATGTTGGCCACTCAAATATTTTAAGAATGTTTCCAGTGACAGCTCTTAGTATTTCATGACTTTTGCTCAAATGTCCAACAATATACCAGAAAGTAGAATACATGCTTATTGTTTTATGACCTGTTGGGTGTATTCTGTATTTCTTATACTCCATCATGAGGATGAAGAAAACCAGCTTTTCCCTGCCAGTTTTATAGTATAGGAATGGATTTACAAAATTGTAGATTTATGCTAAAACAGTCTAAGGAATTTTGTCTGACGGTATAATAGAGTCAAGTAGCACAGACTAGCAGGTTCGGCACTGTTCTGCTCATAGCTACCTCTTTAAAGCAAACAGAATCACTTATGTTTGAGAAATTTCTAACTTATAGTAGTGACAGCTTGCCTTTATCATTATAATTTAACAAGCTTTATTATGTTATAATTTAAATAAGTTTTTAAGAGAACAAAGTAAGTTATATCTACTTTAAGGGTTCTAAAGTTATTTTAGGAAATTTCTGTTCTTTACCTTGAAATATAATCATATTTTGATGTTGCACTGTTGATATTATGCTATTTTAAACACTTAGACACAGTTTAAAATTTAAAAATTCAAAAGGACTATCCAACTAATATTATTTATTATAGAACTGCCTCAGTCAGTGGGGTCTTCAACAGGGACCTGAAGGGAGGGCCGGCGAATGAAAGGGACAAGAGACACAAAGAATGAGAGCAAGACAGGATGTCTGATCAAGCTCCAAAATTTTATTTTCCTCTTAAGGCATATATAGGTGGGACCAAAGGGGGTGCAAGCAGGGAGGGGACTTTAATCATGAGTTGTTCAGCCAGCAGGGAATGTTGCTATAGGGATTATCTAGTCTTGCCTAACTGTCTAACTGCAGCATGGTCACCTGATTTCCAAGAAGAGGTTCTGGTATTTATGAGAAGAGGTTCTGGTGCTATGCAGACTTAAGCAAGACCTAGATCTAGAAAAAGAAGAGAGAAGCCCAAATATGGTGGCATGTGTGTCAAGGGTCACTTAGGCTTATGGCTCCTGTCATAGAACTATGAATAATTGAAAAATTCTAATGGACATCTTAGTGCCTAATAGTGAGTGATAAAAATTGAGACAGTTCAATTGAGGTGTGATTCTATAACAGATGCACAGTGAGAGGGGAGTGAGGATTTGAGAGTAAAAATTGGTATAGTATTTTCTCTTAAGAATCACAGTATTTTAGTATTACATATTGATATACCTTACATAGTCATATATCAAACTGTTTATTTTTAAATCATCATGCTTATGAAATGAAATTCTACAATTCTGTGGAATTTTGACCTAAATAAATTTCTAATTGAAGTCAACTACCAATATTTTGCACTCAGATTTTCTGATTTTAAATTTCTTGAATAATCCAATCAATGATCATGAATTGCTTTTGACTCTCCAACTCTGTTGAGGGCATCGTGATATTTACAGACTTTGTGAGGGTGAAGACATATGCTATCTTGCTCTCTGTCTCATTGAACCAGTACCAAAATCCTGTTAGACCAGAATCTACTTGTTGTTTTAAAAAGAAATTATTAGGAAGCCCAAGTTAAGTTGATGGATTTCAAGGTTCAAAGTAGGGCCAAATTTTATTTATATACCTGCTAGTAAAATTGAGAGATAATTGGATACGTAAGCTTAATCATAAGTTCTTTGTTGCTTTTTTGCCTGATTTTTCTCTAAAGCTACAGGCTTGCTCCTAAGTATCCATTCCCAGCTGCCCTTGAAGACTGTGTTCTTGTGATCAAGTTCTTTCTCCAGGACAAAGTTCTTGAAAAATATGGAGTGGATCCTTCTCGCATCTGTATTTCAGGAGACAGTTCTGGGGGTACCTTGGTAGCAGCAGTGACTCAAGAGGTATGTTGTATATGTGAAAAATGATTGAAACCAGCACAGTTTTGTTCTAACATGGAAGAAGTGCTGTAGTTGTGTTTGAATGATGTTTGTACTGTAATCTATAAAATGTAAAATAACCAAATAACTTAATCTTTTTCCATAATTTTAGCTTTATATGTGACTTTAATTAAGTAGTTAAGTAATGTTAAATAAGGATTTTGTAATCCTACTGTGTGTAAGGGTGGCATTGACTCTAAGGCTGTGTGCTTGCTAGACAAATAATCTACCATAGAACTATGTAACCACTTCCTTTTAATCTCTTCTCTTAAAGTCTTCTCTTCCTTTTAAATTGGTCTCTTGTTAAGCATCTCAGGCTGAACTTGAACTTGCTCTGTAATATGGCTATGCCTGAAATTTGCAATCTCTCCACATCAACCCCTAAGTACTTGGGACTAAAGCCACACCGTCCAGCCTACCTTATTATACTAATTAAAAATATAGCAATGACTAGGAACTATTATTTAGTATAAGTTTTACTGTTAGGTTTTCAAAGACAAATTATAAAATCTGTGTGATTTTTGTATGACTGTACTTGGTCTGTATTGATTACTTTCTTGTCTCCTTGACTAGAAGACCTGACAAGAAGTAGCTAAAGAAAAATGAGCTATTAGGGCTTATGGTTTGACAAGGTATAGTACATCATGGAAGAAAAGCCATGGCAATGGAAGATGTTTATTGATGTGGAACAGGAGAGTGAGACTGTTAGCTTACATTTCCTAAGAATATACAGCAAGATTCATGAAGCAGAGGCAATGGAGAAATGGTTCCCAATGACTTACTCCTCCTGTCTCACTCAGCCTACTTCCTTATATCTTCCAGGATTACCTACTCAGGGGTGGAACCTCCTACAATGGACTGGGCACATCAATTATATGTTTAGAAAATACTGTACAGTCTCACGCACAGACCAATCTTACAGAGACACTTTCTTTATTGCCCCTTCGTCTCAAATAAATCTAGGCTGTGTCAAGTTGACAAAAGAAAATAAAACAAAAGTCAACCAGGACAACTGAGTTCTAGTCACCTTGACACACAAACAAATCATTATTCAACTATAACCATTTCTTTCTTGTTTATACCCAATATTTCATGTTAATATAATCATATTGATAGTAAACACATTCCAACTTAAAAGTCACACAATCTTTACAAATTCAAAGACTTTGACAATTAGTCACTCTAAAATTCCAAAGTCTATTACTGTGGGCTCCTATAAAATAATAAATTGATTAAATTTCATATTCTAAGAAGGAAGAATTAGGGCATAGTCTCAGTCAGAACATAGAACACAAAACAAAAGTCCAGCACAGTGAAACTCAGTGTCAGACACTGCAGAGTCACTATATAGCCTCCAAAGGGCTTACCATAGCACATGTAGCGTGTTTCATATAGGCTCAAGCTGGAGTAACTCCACAGCTGCTGCTAGTCTTGTTGGTAACACCATAATACTAGCATCTCCAAAATTTTGTAGTCTCTACTACAACTGGACTGAACACTCACTAAGAGCCTCCCATCTGCTCTCTTCAGGGTCTCTGTCCCACCACATGGTGTCAAGACTCAATCTCCTTCCATGATCCCTTCAATCCCAGGACTTCTATTTCAACTATGGCTTCACAGTCCCCATTAGCCTTTCTAAGCCCTCATGGTGCCTGCCAAACCTTGGTTGCTCCTCATGACCCTTCATACTTTCAAATATCAGTACTACATGGGAAACTATATATTACCAAGTTCAGCTGCCAATAAAAGGTACAACCTTGGCCCTCTTTGGACTAAAACTTCTATGTGCTAACCCCGAGGAAACACTGCCCAGAAGATTTGGAATCAGTGATGCTAGTCTCTTCTTAATCACGGTTGATTCTTCAGCTCAAGAAATCAGTATTGATTGTCCCAGGAAACCAAAAGTTTCACTTTAGTGGTTCTTAATTCAAAATATCACATGAATGGCTCTAATAGAGTCTGAGAGATTTCAAATTTCTGGAGAAATGCTGCTTACTGGCTTGATCCTCATCGCTTTCTCAGACTGCTTTATTATATATCTAGGACCACCAGCCCAGGATTTTTTTTAATCACCCATGTACGATGGGCCCTTCCTCATCAATCACCAGTTAAAGAAATACCCTACAGGCTTGCCACAGGCCAGTCTTACAGAGACATTTTTCAAATAGCTCTCTCTTCTCAGATAACTCTAGCTTATACTGAGTTGACAGAAACTAATCAGGACATCCATTAAGTACAGTTTACACTGCCTATACATTCTTGGATGTTTGCCCTTATGCTAGAGCATGGACAAGCTACCAGAAGCCATCCTTAAAGAAAACAGACTCCCCCTTTCCAAGTAGCCATCAACTGCCAAAAGCTCCTTAGAGAGGGTAAGACTTTGTGAAGTCAAAAACTTAATGATGTTTTAGTTCTGAGACACATTATTTGCTAAGTGAGTTTAACAATATTTATTGACACTAGAAACCTAAGTATGAGTGTACTTCAATTAATTTCAACAGGAAGTGCATAACCACCTTTTATAAATGAGCTTATTTCTTTTACACAGATAAAAGCAACATTACTTCCTCTTTTTTTCTTTTAAAGTTTTACTTAGCTTTATATCTTTTATGTGTATAAGTGTTTTTGCCTGCATGTATGTCTGTGCACCATGTACATGCAATGGCCACAAAGATGGCACTGTACTCTGCAGAAATTGGAACTCCCGACTATTCTGAGCCACAATGTAGGTGCTGGGACTCAAACTTGGGTTTGCTACAAAAGCAGCAAGTACCCTTAACTGCTCAGCCATTTCTCCAGCCCTGCAACATGTCTGTCATTAACAGCAAAATTTAATAATTTTTACTACAAAAAATAAAAATAAAATATGATATTAGTTCTTCTAAAAGTGATCTATTAATAGCATTTGCTAATTAATTTTGCAGAATCCTTTCCTTTTTCATTGATAATTGTATGGTTGATCAAATAACCTGAGCTTCATCTGTGCTAAGTCTTTAGAACACCATTGACTTCACATAATTTTTCCCATTGTCTGATCTGTTCTATTTCCAAAATTACTAAGATATTCCAGTGTTAGGGTCCTTGATGGTCTTTAGTAGTTTTTAGAACTAAGGATTATAATTCATATTCTTATTTTAATTCAATATTATCATACTTCTTCCTCTCCTAACCCATATTAAACCTTGCTTGTGCCCTTCCCAACAAGAAAGAACTTAAGCTGATTGTTTCCCTGCTCAAACTAAAATATCTTTCAGAAAGGTAATACAATTAAAGAAGAGGTCATGGATTTGAGGCAGTGATAGGGTGTTGGAAGTGGGAAGGTATGCAAATGAAATACTCCAAAAAGAAAAATTAAATTAAATAAAAGTATACATTGTATTTACTGATCTAATCCCCATTTTAGAGATCAAGAACCCAAGGCTTCACAGGATTGGGTATGTAGCCTGGTACATAATATTTGTATGCTGTGAAGCCAGAATTTAAGCTAACACATGACAGCTCTAAATTTATTCTTTGAAACACCGGCTGATCTGCTCTTCAGTCTCTTCCCTCTTGATAGACTAGATATTGGATGTGGATATAACTTTTTTTTTAAATATAAGGCAGCTTTGTGTACTGCTTCAGGAACTCAAGGTATATTATGAGATTCCTGTGAGAAGCAGAGGTAGGCAAGGTGAGTCCACAAAAGTGAAGGTGAGTCATCAAAACAACACATGAAAATTTTCAGTATCCCAAAGGCCCTGAACAGACACTATGAAAATGTCAATTTATTCTTATGTTAAATGTGTGTGTGTGTGTGTGTGTGTGTGTGTGTGTGTGTGTGTGTGTGTTTTGTCTGTCTGTCTAGCTGTGTGTGGTATAGTATATATGTATTTATGCATGATTTTGGTGCTGTGGTCACATGTACATTTGGGGGCTTGAGATTGATGCTAGAAATCAACTTCCATTGCACATCCATTTTATTTGTTGAGGAAGGGTCTCTCAGTCAAACCCAGATCTCAAGTATTATGGCTGTTCTTGCTAGCTATCTTGCTTTGTTGATACCGTTTCTACCATTTCTGCTTTCCTAGGCTGGAACTGCAGACTGCAGGCATGCCTAGTTGTCATGTAACTGGAGAACCAAACTTGGGTTCTAATGCTTGGTAAGGCAAGCACTTTAACCACTAACACAAACCCCCAACCACACCGTGGTCATTCACACACCAATGAAAGTACTTTATCTTACACGCAGGATCTCTCTCTCTCCCTCCTCCCTGGAATGTTTCCTTCCATTCCTCTATGTTACCTCAGAAACTATTTTGTGCTGGTGCTGCATGCTAAGACCTGCACTGATAAAGTCTACCCACAGGCCCTCTCCTTGGATGCTGCCATTATATTTATCCTGCTTTGTCAGCCACACTGGGAGGCACAAGGAATCTCTGCTCAACCATTGGCCTACATGATTCTCCATTTCTTTGGTGTGTCTACTGAAATTTATAAAGGTGACTCCATAAAAAGTCTAGAAATAGTCGAAACAATTTACGATACAGTGGTTATTATGCACCTCTTTGCATGAGTTGGCTGTTCTAGTTGAGGAGGCAGGATAGCCATCCAACTGCAGTGGTTTCCCTTCCAAGGTTCTGGTGCAAGGACAATGGGAGAGAGGGTCTCCAATGTTCATATGAAATTTAACACCATACATTGACTCTGGGGAAGAGTGATTATCTTCCCCCAAAGCATGAGTGTGACCTTACAAAAGGCTGTGAGAGTAGAAAAGGCAATGGTTTGGCTAAGATGTCTCACATCTGGACCCCTTTGACCAAGTCAAAGCCCATGATCTCTCTGGCTTGTCAATGGATGAAACTGTTGTTGTCACTGCTCCAGTTTTACATAAGTCCAGGCAGTGAGAAGCCTTCCATTTCTGTCCTCTTGTGTAGAAAGGACCCTTAGGTCCATCTCACCAGAGCTTCTGGAGAATTTGGCATATGATAATCTGGGAGTGTTTAAGTACAGGAGCTATTGTTTTGGGTTTATAATAATAAAGGAAAGTGGTTTTAGGAAGCAATTAGAGATGAGGACAAATTTTCTGTCTTTGCAGCTTTAGCATAAAGGGCATTTGAAGAAGTAACTGTGTGGCTCAGGATAGCATTAGAGATACCCAAATTCCTATCTCTCTCTACCTTGGCTCTTTTCTTTATGCTAACTCCTTAACACACTGGTGTTTATTTGTTTCTTTTCATTTAAAGTTTGTGGAGTTTGAAATACTACTGAGAAAGCTACTATTCTCTCTTTTTCTTAATGTGTGATAGATTTAATTTAATTCCTTTTTTCTTTTCTTTTTTTTGTGTCTATGTGGATCCATGTTCACATGAGTGTGCATGTATGTTTGCCCTTGCATGTACATATGTATGCTTAAGCATATGGAAGTCAGAAGTTCCCCCATTTCCTTTCCACCTTTGCTTTTTTTTGTTTTGTTTGTGTTTGTTTGTTTGTTTGTTTGTTTGCGAGATAGGGTCTCACTATGTATTGTTTGTGACCTGGGACTTGTTAGGTAAATGAACCAGTTTGGCTTTGAAAATCATATTTGTTTTCCTATAAATACTTCTGCTGATCTTGGAGCTCCCCAGAGTCTTCTCTTAGATTAAATGGCCAGTGATCTCAGGAGATGTATTTTTCTTCACTATAGTACTAGGGGCTGAGCTGCCACTATGCTAAGGTCTGATTTTGGATTGGGGTCCCTACGCTTGTTCTGGCAAAGATTTTTACCAACTGAGCCATCTCCCCAGGCTCAAATTTCACTTAATTCATAAGTTTCCCCTATACATCAATGAACTATGAAAAAGTTAAACTGCAGTATAATCTACCTGTGCCTCAAGCAAAGCCAGCAGGTGTTAACTCAAGTGGTACCATGGCTGTTTATATTTGGAAGAGCTATTATTAGGCTTGGCCTCAGTTTTCCTGTTGTGTTCACTGCTGTTTATTCTCTGAACTTTCTGAGACACTGCCTTTTATTTGTAAAATTACCAGCCTAAGAGTATTTTTAAACATAGCCATTCTGTCATCTTTAGTAGGACTCATGTTCCTGTTTGGTTACCAAGTGTGAAGAAGGTAGAATGACATTCTCATTTTTCAAACAATGATTCAATGTTATGAGAATAATCACCAGATGCTGTTTCAGTTTTATAAATTTATTTACCTCAGGATATTAAAACAAAGTTACCAATCCTCTTTTGGAAACCTATTGACTCATTAGCACCCATTATGTATTTTATTTACAGCTACAGGATGACCCAGAATACAAAAACAAAATAAAGGCACAAATCTTGTTATACCCTGGACTACAGGCAATTGATACCTCGATGCCATCTTATCGAGAGAATGAACATGGTCCCTTTCTGTCAAGGAAGGTAGCAATTAAGGTGACATACCTATATTTAGCAGAAGATGAAGAACTGGTAAACGCAATACTGAGAAATGAACACATGCCTGAAGAATCAAGACATCTGTTCAAGTTTGTTAATTGGAGTGACTTACTTCCTGAAAAGTATAAAAAGAACCATGTTTACACTGAGCCTGTCCTTGGAAAATTGAATGCTTCTTATCCAGCATTTATGAATAGTAAAGCAACACCTTTGCTAGTCAGTGACTCCCAGTTACAGATATTGCCATTAACTTACATCCTCACATGTGAACATGACATCCTAAGAGATGATGGACTTATTTATGTCACCCGACTCAGAAATGCTGGAGTTCCAGTGACACATGACCACATAGAGGATGGAATACATGGAGCCTTGTCATTAGCCACAGCACCTATTTATTTACGTTTAGGTTTGAGAATAAGAGATAAGTATCTAAGTTGGTTAGAAGAAAATCTATAAAGCAATGGTACATGTTGCTAAATAGTCAGACCTTTTAGTTAGCAATGTTATCTAAAGGGTATAGTTTAAAGTATTTTTAAATTGATGAATTTAAACATCACTTGAGTATGGATAAACCTAATTTTAAGTTAGAATAAATACCATTGAGTATTTTTGGGAAGTTACTTAATTTTGTGAAATCTCAATTCAATAAAACAGAGACGTTCATTTTGTCTTTAATACCATGAGTAGATACTCTCTGAGAATTCAAATCTAGTAGTTCAGTACTGAAATATGAGTGTAGTTATATTCAAAAGAGCATGACAGTTTCCAAGCAGTGATAACATTCGGATGATGAATGAGGAGAAAGTTTAAGGTAGAAACTTTGTATTGGCATTTATATGGAGTGATCATTACACTGTATTTCAGCCATGAGTTTTAATTGTGTGTTGTTCATACAAAAAAAATCAATTTTCTCAAGATAAATAAGATCAATTTTTTTTTCAGTGACTGTATATGAAGTCTATTTACTGATTATTACTAACTAATACCCTTTTCTGTGTATTGGGGGAGCAAAGTTAACACCTTCACCACAAATTGTCACAAAGCTTAAATATTTGAACCTTATTTAGGTATGTGTAGCGGACTTTCTTGGACTGCCAGCCCCAAAATCATGACATGCAGACTAATTATTATTTGTGAATGCTCAGCTTTATCTCATGTTTTTACCCACTAGATCTTATAACTTAATTTAACCTGTTTTTTATTCTATGTTTTGTTTCAGGGTTTTTTTTTTTTTTTTATCCTTCTTACCTTCTGTATGTCCTACTTTCCTGATTCTTCTGTGTTTGGCTGGCTGGCAGCTACCTGGCTGGTTGGGCCTGGTCATCTCCCTCTCTTTCTCCCTTATTCTCTCTGGAGCCTAGATTCCTCCTTCTACTTATTCTCTCTGCCCACCAGCCCTGCCTATCCCTCTACTACCTAGCTAATGGCCGTTCAGCTTTTTATTAGACCCATCAGGTGCCTTAGGCAGGCAAGGTAAAACAAAAGTAACACATTTTACATAGTTAAACAAATGGCTCCACACATGTGCATTGATGGGTAGCACAAAAGGGACCCAGTGAGTTCTTCAAAACAAAACAAAACAAAACAAAACAGAAGACCTGAAATTGGGTCAGGGCTTGGGGAGTATGCATCTAGGAGGAATAGGAGGTGAACTATATGGGCTAGTGTGATCAAAATTGATTATGAGATTCTCATGAAGTTAATAAAAGTATTGTATTTTTAAAAAGTCCAAAAACATAAATATTTTCACCTCATTAAAAAAGTTTATGTATCAAGGTCTCTCACTCTATGCATACTATCTGGCTGTGGGTCTCTATATTTGTTCCTATCTGCTCAGGAGGAAGCTTCTATGATGTTGGTTAAATAAGACACTAATCATATTTGTCTTTTTGGGTCTGGGATACTTCACTCAGAATGAATTTTTTCTGGTTCCATCTATTTGCCTGCAAATTTCATAATATA